CTTCTGTCACCAATAAGGCAGATTTAACACCATCTTAGGATCTGGTTAGACCAAGCATCACATTAATTTCTGGAGATAGACATATCTGTGTTCTAACTATTGACCACTAATTATGAGTAGCTAGATAATGAACTGGTGAGTACAGTGATTGGATGGTGACTGCTAATAGGATGTTGCCTTAGTAAATACTAGGAAGAGGGGAAGAGATTTTGGAGATTAGTACTGAATTATAGTTTGATCTGCTATTGTTGGATTTATCCAGCAAGGTTTCTGTAGTAACTTTTTTTGGAATTAGAGAAGAAATTGATTCTGGTTGCCATACTTCAAAGAAGTGATTGTCAAAGATCAATAGGGTTCAGAAAATAGGTTTGTCACTACCAGTGAAAGATAATTATGAAAGGGAGAGATTAACGCACAACTGGATCATGAGTTGGCTGCAAAATGAGAAGGATATTGCTAGTAGCTGATCTTTTCAGTCCAAGAATCACAGGCCAAAAATTGAGCATTTGATCTGGAAATAAGTCTGCTCTTTAACATGGCCTCTAAGGATAATTAGTTATTAAATAGTTTGCCAAAGGCAGATTCCCTGCCATTTGAATTCTTTAAGTGTTAGTTGGATGTGACTGAAGCGCAGTGTCTTTTAAAAATTACAAGAAAAAGGCTTGATGAAGAAATGACTGGAAAGAATGGTCACTCTATTAGAGGTTGAACTGAATGTCATAATGGTATTTATGCCTTTACCTTTCCATCTGATCCAATATTCTCTTCTCAGTTTCTTTCTAATTTAAAACCTATTAAGCTATGTGAAAACTATTTTAAGTCCACACTGTAACAAAACACGTTAAAAAGAAATAACTTTGTAAAGACTGACACATTTTGAAAGTAGTGTTTTTAAATTTTAATTTGTAATACAGTTTAAATGGACCCGTATGCAAACACTGGATGGTTGTGTTGCATTTGCCTAATATTAAACCGTAGACAAATGAAAAAAAGTAGGAGAAAGGTGGATTCATCAAAAAATTCTTTCAAAATACCACCATTTTCTGTTAACTTTTTCATGTAATGATATTGAATTTACTATATTTGGGCATATTTTATTATTGGCTGTAGCATCACTGGATGATGCATTGATTTTCAGACAGCACTTAGTTTGAAGCTTTCATATTTAAAGTACTCCAAGGATATTAAGTGGTATTTACAGGTATTAAACAATGATTGTAATGTATTTAAGAGCACTTATTTTTCATCATACAATATGACAGATGTGTACATGGATATATGGTAAAGTACATGTTTTCAAAATAATTACATCTTGTAAAGGATTTTTTCAATGTTATGACAAATATGCATGGGCACATTCAGTACTGAATCATAGTAACGTGAATGTACAAATGATTAACATTATTTTCAGGATAAGCATGACATGCTTGTGTCATTCTGGCTTTGATTGTATGGTTGCCTTGGTCAATACTGATCTTCCGTGATTCTTGTTAAAAGGAAAGGAGCAGTATAATAATAAGAAAAGGCAGCAAGGATCTAAGAAAGGTGAAGTTTGAGCTGACAGCATCTTTAGAAAACTTTTATTTTGGTATACTTAGATAAGTTTAATTCTGAAGACTATTACAGAGTTTTATTTCAAGTGATAAATGAGATTTAATTCTCAAATAGGTACAGTGGCTGAGATCCTAGCATGCTAATGTGCTATTCAGGAGAATATGAGGCTGGCAAAAACGTTAATTTAGGTGACGCTTATGTCTCATTTGTCAGTAGTGGGGCTGACTGAACTGCTGGTCTCCTGCAGCCAGACAGCTGTAGTCTTCATCCATCACGCTGAACTCCACGGCGATGACCGCGTCCGTGCTCCAGCGACTAATAACTGCACTGCTTTGCCTCCCTGCGGCTCCTTCCATGTGACAGGTTGTGCTAAAGCAAACTGGTACTCAAAGAAAGAGGTGTGAATCTGCAACAGGAAAAGATGGTCTCTAAAATCATTTGCTCTTCAGTTAATGAAAAACATCCCATGCAAAAGCCGTTACCATTTAAAACGATAATAACTTGGTTTTCACTCAGTCCTTACGATTCAATGCTCACCAGTACGTATGTATTTTATTAATGTAACTTTCAGAGCTTTTTAGTTATTAGTTTCAGGGTGCCAATTCAATGCAAATTCCAGAAGTTACTCTATGGAATAAATGAGCTCAGGTTTTATTTGTATTCAGATAATTATTAGCCATTCACATATGCATATCGTAGCTACGATTTAGTTTGTTTGATTGTAAGGTGGCTTAGCCGCTTCTGTCCGGGAAGGAAGGCTGGCAGTTTAAAGTAAAGGCTGTTCCATCTCAGAGCTTTTAAGGGTTTTGGAAGAGTCATCTGTAAATTTAAGTATGTCTTTGGCAGGTAAAAGCGACCAGGACGCGCTCACTGAGCAGTGCGGGGTCCGTAGAGGTCACAGTGTTAACTGGAGTGTTAATGACTCGTACGAAGAGCCCATAGCTGCGCAGGACTTCGGCAACATTGGGTCCCTTACGTCTGCAATACTGAAAACTGAATCAAAAGTTCTTAACACCCTGCAAAGCTATCTCTTCGTGGTCCGGAGGGAGGAGTTCCGCGGGCAGGTGTACGAACGCCGG